GGCGGGTGTTGTCTTTGACGGGGAAGTACAAGACAGGAAACAGGCAGAAGCGAGGATCAAGAAAGCACTCGAGGGGAAGATTGCGAAGGTGCGTCTTGAATCCACTCATCAATACCCATGCGTGTACTGAATAGCTTGTGCCCCGTAGTTCAAGATTCCTGAGAGGTAAGCCGTCCTCTTATTCATTGTGTTCTCTTCTTGTTGACCTATAACTACAGAATTATATTCGCTAAAGCGATTCCTAAAACTGCTACAGGGAAGATACAACGACGCTTCGTGCGAGACGCGTTCGTGAAGCAGGCGCGACAGGAGAATGGTGCCAAACTATAAGAGATTCGGGGCTAGACCTTGTTTCTAAGAGATAGAACGCAGATCGGCGGTTGTATCTATGTCAATTGGATGCTCCTTCTCAGCATAGCTCCCAGAGTAACTTGATCGTAAGAGAGGTGGCCAGAATTCATCGTGGTCCCCTCCCACTTCCCCTAAAGAACTTCGGCATCCTGAGCGTTCTTTGGACCTAGATGACTCAACGATTGTTCTGGTGTTCTTCAACAAACCCTCAGCCGAAAAGTTTTCCGAGAAAACCTTTTGATTGGCCGTTTGCCTGTGCTTCATTTGTTTCTATGGCTTCTTCGAGTAGTCCAACGAGTTTAGCATATTTGTTAGGGAATGATGCGGGATGCAACATCTTTTCAGATAGGGCATACTGCGCGTCGAATTCGTTAGCTAGTAGGTCGCGTATGTAGCCGGAACCTACTTTTTCTTTCAATCCATCTTGTACCAACATTTGCTGACTCCTGATTAATTTTGGAGTCATTTTGCTCTCGAACTGCTTTGCCTGTGCGAGTGCTACCAAATATTCGCCGTACTGTAGCCTTGGCCTCAGGATATCAGGAGGCCAAGACTTTCCAATTCGCAATAATTGCCTAGATAGTGTCATGTATTTTTCAAGACTTTCGTTTTTTGCTGGTACTGATACACTGCCAAGGTATCGGCGTCGGCCAAAGTTTTTTGTCCACCTGTACCTCTAACACTTTGTCTGTGTCCTCGAGCGCTTCGACATTTGGCGCGGACCGTTACCAAACTTCCCAACATTCTTCAGAAATTTTGAACTGCTCCTGGAAGTATCGTGCCTTTTGACGCGTTCATCCTTAAAAAAGTTCGAAGCGCCTATTAGCAAGTTCGAAACTCTGTCCTTTCGATACCTGGAACCTGCTTCGTCAAGATGTCTTGCTGTGGTGAATCTAGGACTGATGCTGAAAAACGAGACCAGCAAGGTCAGCAGCAACAACAAGCCCAGTATAATGCGTGGAATCAGGCCAATGCTCCGATTACCCAACAGCCAGGAATGCAACCTCAGCCCTCGTTCTCCCAGTATCCAAACCAATTCGGAAACCCTGCTGGCACCCCCAACCAGTTTGGCTATCCCAATGCCAGTATGAACGGATATCCCCAGCAGCCCCCGACGCCTTCTATGCACCAGCAGCAAGCTTCGGGTGGAGCCAATAATGCCTGGCCTAATCAAACGGGCTCCCAATTCGGAGTTCAGCAACCAGCAGCAGCTCACGTCAATCCTGCACCCACCCCGCCAGGACAAACTCATGGTTCAGGTGTGCCAGCTTTATCTAGTGCGGGGAACCCGCTCGCTAAATAGACGTCTTTTCTCTCAGGCACGTATACGCCTCTTCTTGATCCCAATATTGTGCGACCTTCGCCCGTTCATATGCAAGATGCAAGGACCAATACCACCAGTCCAACGCTCTCCGGCAGTGGAACTAGTGGATGGCAAAGCGGTCCTGGTCCTGGCGTCGCCATGGCCTCTACAATCGGTACGTGTTATAATATGTATATTCAGTGTGTCATATTGTTGACAATTTATTCCTTTTCATAGCTCAACCAATGTCTCCTGACGAAGGCAAACTTTCTATCTCTATTGATTTTGGTACGACTCTTCGCCTATGCAATCCTAGATTTTACTAAAATATCACTCAGGTACTACATTCTCTGGTGTTGCTTATGGCTCTTCTCGTATCGCATCGGGCAAGGTTCAACAAATCCTTCATTGGCCCGGCTCTTTTGAAACTTTCCGTAAAATACCTACCTGTCTCCTTTACGATGAACACGGCAGAGTTATGGCATGGGGATTGGAAGCAAA